ATTGAACCAATGACTTTTGAAAGGCTGACAAGCCTTAAAAAAGGTCTATAAACCTAAAATTTAGACTTGAAGAAGAAAGGAGACTTAATAATCTCTCAAATTTCAACTAATCACAAAGTCATATGCTAAGATATTAACCCATTGACACCTCTGCCAGGCTCACCCAGCAATGAGCAGACCACAGCCTTTGTGTCATCATCACTTTTCAAACCAGATGATGTTCTTGATAATCAGCTCATAAAGTGAGAAAAGATCTTTCAAAGCATCATTAAGCCAAATACCCTGTTGTGGTCACAAACGAAATGAATCGAGTGATTGTGCTCAGTCACGATATTGTACACCACATTGAACTATAATAATTGTGTCAACTCATCTTCCGATACACTTTGTAATATCCAGTTTCTTTTCTTTTATTAATTAGGAAAAGCCTTTTCATCACCAAGCAGTTTACACTTAAACACACCACAGATGGAGGAAAAACCAACACGTAAGTTATATGTTATTTACTACATATGAACAACCTTCCTTATATAACATATATAATAAGGTGGCGGGAGTAAAGTCTATCACAAGTTTATTTCTTGTATTGCGCTTTTCTTGACAAAAAACAAGTTCCTGATTACTTCAACTTGCTCCCCATAATCTGCTTACTGTTTAACAATATATAAAACTTGTCTTTCCAGTACTGTGCACACATTGTAAAGTAGCACCTTTACACTCCAAAACTGACCACCATTTACTTGCAGTTGAAAAACAAAAGTTTATTGCAGTCAAATCTGACAGACCATAAAACCTAAAATTATTTCTCGAATGTGTATTCTGTTGGAATCAATCAGATGCAATTATGCTTCGGTTTCATCTACCTTCAAATTCCTCACAACCAGCTTTACAGAAATAATTTCACACTTTGTCAGGTTTGAATGTAAGTAAATCTTTATTCCTTCTTTATTTGCAAAAAAAAAAGAAAGTCATTTCAACCATTTCACTAACACTTGCTTTCTTTTCTTTAGCCCCCAACAGCTACAAAACTGTCTCTGGATATATCCACTCAGTATCTCCTGTGAAGAAAGCTGCCAATTCACAAACAAAATAATTCAATTGTAGTATTCAAACCAATGACACAGTGGTTAGGGCAGTCTGCTTTAATCCTGACAAGAAGCCTCATCTGGAAAAAATCCAAAAAGGGAAAACTGCTGTCACCCTCTTCAATATCAGAAGTTCAATAAAAGATGAAGTTGAAAGTGTCGTAATCCAAAATAATACCAAGATGCAACCAGTGGTTCTACCATTTTCATATAAAGACATCAGCATGATGTCGTCATTGCCAAGTCTCGCATCGCTTCAAGATGTTTCTTTGGAACAACTGGTAGAAGTGAAGGCCAAACTTACTAGGCTAACTGCAGTTAAAACTCAAAACAACCGTTTTGGCCAACCTCTTCAGAAACAAGAAGCTATTTTAGTTGATCACACCACCTCAATCAAAGTGATCCTTTGGCAGGAACATTGTAACACACTTACTGAGGAAAAAACATACAGGCTAAGGAACCTAAGGATCAAAGAATCATATGGAACAAGATACCTGAACACTCCTAAATCAGAGCACTTTGAATTCGAGGAAATTCCTGCATTCACCCAGACGTTAGCTGCTGTTGCAACTGACATAGAGTCTCTGTCGCAGGCCAAGATGTCAGCAAAGATCATTGGTGTACAAACTGCAACGAAATCCCTTTCTTGTGTGGCATGTAAGAAAAAGGTGACCATTAAGACCAGTGGACAAATAGCAAACTGCCAATCCTGTAAGCTAATGCAAAGGTTAATGCTTGCAGCCCACAGTGGATTCTGAAAATTCTATTTCAGAACACTAACAACATCAGTGAAAAGGTTGCAATTATGCTATTCCACCAAGAGGTAACCAAACTCGCAACATTATCAAGTGATATTAATTTAAATCTCATTTCAGAGGAAGAATTGATTTTAACACTCCTAGAAA